AAATCACAAGAACGAGAGTATTGGTTCACTACTCAACACGACGGATGGAAATCCACAAATATAGAGAAATGATAATGGGACATTATGAGTGGCTAATTAATAAAAGTCACTCGTGATAGACATAATGTATACATTCTAACAATTCTATTTTGAATTTCAATTGATCCTCACAAATTATTGTTGAAAGTCATAAGAAATACCAAAATGAAGATCGGCATACTAGTAAGCCGATCTTAGCAATTACAGACATTACAGGAAAAATTATTTATGAACAAATGGTTACCTTTTTGTTCCACATCACCATTCAGATGGGATTATTGTTGCATTAATTAATACTTATTGATGATTAATTCGCAAAAACGATAGAGATGGTAACAGTTGTTTGTTTACTGAACTATTAAAAGGCATTCGATAGAGTTAATTAGATGGGTTGATGAGACGATGAGATCAATTTTATACGCTTATTATGTGATTTATGTCCATATAAACAGATAGATAACAAGCCGTATTTATGGACGATGAACAATCCGAATTTCAATGCACTAGTTCGGAAGTGCCGCAGGGTTCTGTACGTCGCCTTTGCTTTACGCTTTACATGCGTCCAATTTGAACTAAAAGGGTATACTGACTTTCATATCGACGATACTCAAATATACAACTATATTTCGACTTATGATGTAAAACGGAGTTTTGTACGAATTAATAGTGATCCAAAAAGATAAGACTTAGATTCAAAATTAATAAAAAAATTACATGTTAGTAAATTTGGTCTTCACAACCAAAAACTAAATCTGGTTGATGATTTACAAAACTGAAATATATATATATATATGACAATTTAGTGCTATCAATGTTTAACAGTGCATAGATGCTGTGTACGATGTGTTTCGAATTGATATGCAAAATTCAAAAGATACAAAACTCCTACGTAAAATTGACACGCATAAATTATGTCAATTGTAGGATAGTAGCTAAAATTTACGTTACTTTTTTTTCTAACTTCACTTCTATTCTTTCTTTCTGTCTGTAGCGTTGTTTGGGCTGAAATTGATCTCAAGAGGTGACACTATATCCCTGTTGCACAAATTTGAATGTGCTATATCGAAACTATTAAGTACGATTACGACATTGCTGATAGTTATCGACAGAGTGTAGTAATGGCCATATATGCATTGGAGCTGTGTAGTCACGTTGGCAACATTGAAAACAGCGCCTGAATATGCATCCAAAAATGCAAAACATTTCAAAAGATGGTTAGTCCTTACGTCGTGACTTTAGTACAAAAAATTGTTACCCACTAACAATCAACGACTTAAGATACTTGGCCAAAAGTTATTTAGACAATCATGAAATAAGTTTACAAGTCGATCCAGGTAAAAAGAAAATTATTCCACCATGTTGTAAAACTAGATGCTGTCGCATTGGTACCCGTTACAACAGAAAAAATCATGGATGGATGGATGCCCAAACAATCACAGATTGATTTCAGAGTTTTTTTTTGTTACATGGTCACAAGATGTTGACAGAATATGATCAAATTTCAAATTTCGGCTTTCTTTTTTTTTATGTACTTAGTGTTATTCCTCTACATCAGTGGTGTCTATAACGTCGATCGTGATCGTTCGGTCGACCGCAAAGCCGTTTTAAACCCTTCGTTCGATCTTAGCAAGACATTTATATAAAAAGTCGATCTTGATCCTCAAAAAGTGTTTCGGAAAATTTCGAAATTATGCGTTTCAATGGATATAAACGGTTCTGAAGACAACAAATGATAGGAAATTGATTATTTGAAGCAAGAAAGGTTCACTGAAGGACCGACAAGAAAGAATATTAAATATAATGAAGATTGTAGTAATTCATAATAATGAAGATTGTCGTAACGATGTAGATGTTCTAGAAACCGAGAATTATGATACGAGAGTAAAGATAGAATACTTCGAATCGAAAAACATGTAAAACGCACTGTAAAAATTCTTAAAGAAATTCTCAAAAGTTTATGTTTTGACTTCTCGTTCACAACTCACAACGTTTAATATAATAAATATCATGATTTTACCTGAGTTTTTGAGTAATTTGATATCAACACCACAAAGAATCTTGTAATTTTGTTAATATAACATAACGTACAACATATATCTAATAATAATCATATAATATGTATATGTAATATCTATATTCAAACAAATTATGTCTTCACCTGTTGATAAAATTGAGGTATTCCTAGTAATTTGTAATGTTAGACCTGCAGAACTGAGATCCTGTGAGAAATCTGTTTGAACACTTTGACTTTGAAACACACTGTTTGACTTTGATATATCATTTCGCCTATGTTGTTCTATAGAGGGTTCGAGAAAAACAGATTTATGTACATCATGAAAATTATTGATGTTTCGATCGGGGTTCAGTTGTGGGTCAACTTTATTAAATGTTAATGATATATTTGCTACCAGAGAGTAAATATAAGGTTCATGTTTGTTGTCGCAATTATTTCATATCAAAATATCAGTACATTGGTGATATTTTTGTAGATTTCAAGTTCTCAAGGTGAACGATCAAGCGATTTATTGACAACTTTACGTTAAAAGAAGAAAAGATGCTCAATACCCTACCGTACTTCACACAGATCGTTTCCCCATCAAATAGCTAAGAGCTAGAGCGTAGTGTAATCAGAATTTAAGCCCGATATCGTGCTATCTCCGTCCGCTTCCAAAGAATGAAACTTAATCATGTTAAGTATCATGATATTTTGTGTTATTTTTTGTTACTTAGTGAACTTAATTATTTAATAATAGAAATATCTCTTTCTGAAATCGATACGATAACTAAAAATTGAAAAGTAAAAATATGTATACGGAAAAAGTAATTATGATTTTTAGTGAATCCCATTTGTCATCGATAATAATGAAAGTTGGAAAACAGGATCGGAGTATTTTTAACCCTTTCGCCGGGATCATCTCTCTCGTGGTAATTCGTTAACACCCAGGACACGAAAATCCCGGGACATCTATATACGTCTACAACAGGGAAAGAGTTAATTAAGTTCAAAAATTTATATAGCAATTATGAATCAATTAACTGAAATTAAATTTTAGGGTTAGATTAAATTAAATCTAAGTGTTTATTAAGCAATTTAAAAAAATGAATCTCATTTGTGTATCATCAAACGTTAAAAACGTTGTTTTAATTTATGCAATGGTGTAAAAAATAACCTAAATAAGTTAATTGCAAAGTACAAAACATCACCAAACGCCTTTAATTCACTCTATTTACATAGTAGATTAACACTTGTTGAATACGCAACTTGTATACAACGATAGCATATAACATAGTTCCTATTTCGCAAAATAAAATGGTAGTTTCGCCCGTTCATTTGCACAGTTATAGTACTGCATACTACCGCAAGAGCGCAACAGTAATTTACAGTATATTGCCGTTGAATTCAAACTGTTGCAGGCCTGAATAACCCTTGGCCATTAAGTATTAAACCCAGACCACATCTAGTCGTTCGAATAAAATATTACTGCTCCCTGGTAAGCTTTCCACTAACGGTTTAACTCTACAGTTTAAACCATTTGCGTATTAATATTAATGTAGGTTCAATAAAAGTTGGCAAGAAGAAATTTTTTTATGTAGTTTTCAACATGGATCGACCGACACGACACCATTTCAGTTGCGGGAAAGGGTATAATTGAGATTCATACAGTATTTAGTTCGACAAACAACAGTCACAACAGCTACAAGGACGCCCCCGGAAAGTATGATTGATGTATTTATCATTCGGTTCAGCGAGGCTGGGTGCATTATGTATGGCCTATCGATCAATCAATTCCGGTGTACTTTCAACGGAGAGAAAATGGCCGATGAATTAAACATGCGCCCTAGCGTTTATTTCTATGCAACCCCGTCAGAATCCTCGACATCACGCAAAATACCATTAATAAAGCATGAGCCCTTTCTCTACAACTCCCCCGTAACGATATGCGGAGAGTTATTCCATTCTTGGTTTTCGGGCAATTTATAATATTATGTAACCGGGAATTCGTGACGTGTCGCTTTTTATCGTATACTTTAAAGCTACCAGCGATAGAACGCCTTTTCTCCTTTAATGCACGGCACATTATGGTTTTATTGAGGCTTTTGTATTTTTAAACTCCGAACGAAGTTTTCAACACCGGAAATAAATTCGAATCATCGGTTTTCATCATACATATATAATATGCAGTGTTACTACATAATGTAAACTGTAGGGTAATAAAACATTGACACCTTTATTAATACTCTATGAGTTAATTTTGGTACCTCAAATATTCTCGTAATATAAAATAAATAATAAAATATTTATATGTAGTAATGGGAAAATTTATATATCAAAAATACAAATATAAATTTATAGTTTAACTACATATTTTATTATTATAATTTTACATATTAATTTTACTATAAAAATATTCCTTTCGGTAGTCTGGACGATTTATGATATAAATTACGCAAACCAAATTAAATTCAAGTAATAAATACAACAAAACCTTTGAAACATTTTTAACATTATTATGACTAAATGTTAAAAACAAAATCAAGTTTTATGCATTATTTTTCTACAATTAAATAAATCTAAATAAAATTAATTAATATAAATCAAATAAATTAATTAATCTAATATTTGTGTTAATTAAAGTAAATCGTAATAAACTGCTTAAGCTTTCAGTTAAACATAAATATAAATTTTTATTTCTTGACATACATAACAACGATATGGTGCTATAAACTTTCTGAACTTCCTTAATTTCCTTAAATTATTAACATTAAGTGTACCTATAAAGTTTTAAACTGTTGCTGTAATTCTCACAAATTTCTTGTATAGTTTCAAAGTTAAATAGCCACCATTACTTCCCAGATTCTACTTTTGTAACATTTTTATTTCAATGATTATACATTTCAATATTATTAACTTATTTCAAGTTTTTAACTTTCAAATTATTTATTATTTATTTTTGACTTACCATTATAGATTAAAGTGGTTCCGTGTGGTGATGTCGGTGGAGGGCTAGGTGCGGTGGCTCCTGCCGTCGGACTTGATGGTCCCCAGCAGGAAGTTCCAGGAGCCTCAGGTCCGGGAACGGAATCCCCCACAACGTCGATTTCTTCCTCATCCTCCTCCACCTGTTCAGGTCGTTCCGGCCATGGATAAGCCTTCCACTTCTTCGCCATGAGACAGCGAGGCATGTTGGAGCTGGTGCTATCGCGGCAGGACCACGACACTACCGCGACACTGTTTCTCTGTCCAGGGCGACCACAGAACCTTTTGAATCATAAGGAGCAAGAGGAGACCACACTTTGATCGTCTTCACTCGTTCGCGAGTAAAGAACGCGTTAGTGTTTAATGAGTGTTTTAGTGAGAGTGATTGCAGTGGCAGGAGCACTTGTTGTTCTTGTTGATATTGGCTGAAGAAGCCTCAAGATTCATTTTTCTTTTTCGTTTTTTATTACTTGCTTGTTTTAAGTTTTACGCGCGCACTTATCGAAGGTTTTAAGTTTTTAGTTTAGTTAAAAGTGTTTTGAAAGTGTTTAATGAACTCGTTGTTCTTCTTCGTCTTCTTATGTTAAATTTTTTTGTGTTTATTTTTCTTTTGTGATATCGGCGCGCGAGTGACGTTCTTCCTTGAAGTTTTAAAAGGAGATTGTGTTTCAATAGTATGTTAAAAAACGTTTGCAGTGTTGACAAGAGAGGAGAAGAAGACAGAACGAACACAACAAACTAAACTAAACAGACCCCTCGTGGCTTTGGTGGCGCTCTTCGAGCCCTCCGAGCTTTTATAGGGCGCGCGCTGGTGGGGGGTTGGTGAGCTTTCGGTGTTGCTTCTCTCCCTACTACTTCTACTACTCCACACACTACATGCGCACCCCTTCCCCACCCTCTCCTCTTCCCTCTCTCTACCAACCGTTTTGCATCCTTTTCTCGCGCCCATCGATTGAAGGGGTGAAAAGTTCGGCCGCCCAACGTCTCAACACGTGGCAGAACATTAGAGCGCGTGCCAGAGGATCATTACACCCCGAAACCAACCGGTCGCCCTTCGGTATGGCCCGTGCCGGTTTCGGGGGAGTCGTGTGTGTGTGTGGGTGTACGGGCAGGGTATACCTGGCCGGTCGACCACCTGATAGCGCCTCGGCCACGTGCCCGAGTACGACACCGGTGCCAACTGGTGCCCCTCGAGGAAGCAGACTTCCTCCTGCGGTGTTCAGTTGCAGCTTCCTCTAAGGGGACTTACCGTCATTGAACTAACAAACATATGGAAACCCTTCGATACCCTACAATGTTACCAAAATATACATTATATTATAATTAATGTAGAAAATTTAATAAAATAGATTCATTTAAAACATTCTATTGTTATCGATGAAGAAGTACATCAAAGAATTCTGATTACTTGTAAATGAATAATTAATGCTTAAGTCGATAAATAAATATAAATTATAATATGGGTAAAAGACCAAGGGATAATCTTCATTCGTTAATGCACTAAAACGTTTGAACTTTTTTTTTTCGATGTTATTCTCCTCGGTGTGGTTTATTGCCTGAGACACTTTTATTCTAAATAATCAGTTTAGGGATTTGGTACAAGTCTTGTTTTGTGCATACAGCCGAGCGGTTTATTATACAAAGACTGTATGGTGTTCAATATTGAATTACAACTGAGTTGCTGATTCATTAGTATTCAGATGTGTAGCCATTAAAATCTAACCTAGATATGGTCGTGTTACTCTCTTGTCCTAAAAAGGGTGAGCGTGCATAAACTATGCGCAATAAGAGTGAAATTTCTGAAGATGTAAAGAAGAAGCAACAAATAATCTATTGACTGCAGTAGAATTAAGTCAGGTTTAGACACTATAAACCAGCTTTCCAAAACATGTACTATAAAATGTAATCAGAAGGTGGTCAGTGACCATTTATTTATAATATGGTAAACATTAGTACACTGAATGCTTATGCTCTATGGATTCATCTAAATGCAGATTGGAAAACTAAATAAGATGAGAAATTCCCAATCATCCACAGAAAAGAAAGTCGAAGCTTGAAACGATATAGATGTTGGCAATGCACCAGGAATTCTGACACAAAGTATTCGAAAAATTGTAATCGATTTATTTGTAATATTCATCAACAAGTCACTTTACTGCATTAAATATAAAAACAATGATTAGTTGTTAGGAGATATAAAAAGTGATGACGATAATGATCAGGCAGACGAATTAAAAAGTCTCTAAAGTGTCTAAAGTAATGCACATAATAGGTGGAAAGCATCTGCTCATTCAAAATCAATGTATGACCCTTGAACCATCTATGAAACAGTCTATGGCTTTGCATTGAACTTTGCACCGAGTTAGTAGAACTGGTATGATAATATATCTGTCATTAGCGTCTTCAGGATTACAGCCGTGAATGCTCACAACCCACTTCTTCGCTACACAAACCGAAGCAGAAACCAATTAGACACTAAAAATATCATTAGGACCCAAACCATACATTACAAATTTTCTAGAAATGTATCCTCAGACGAACAAGTTGTTTGTGAGATAAAGAGTAAGATCCTTGATGACCTGCGCTAGACGACCTTGTAGTTCTCGATGATTTTAATGTTGAACTATTGTCAGATTCTTAAAGTTGGTTGTTGAACCTGACTGTCTTCTCGTGTAATTGGTTATTTCATGTGTATGTATAGTTTATAATGAGGAAAAGAAAAGGAATTCATAGACTATTGCAACGGCATTGGATATTATGTCTACTCCAAATTTTTATTTTAACAGTTATAAGAGATTATAAACAACTTCAGAATGCGTTTACAGCAACCCTGTACAGAGAAATGAAGGTATTCTTGCAGTTTAGATTAGAGTCTCTCTGCATGATCAATTTGGATCATCATGCTTGCGCATGTTAAAATTAATAAGATTAAAAGATTTTAATATAGTATCTGATGACTTAAGTTATATTTTGCTTTTAGAACAAACTTGGTAAGGAGAAGAGATGACAACATGTATTATGATATTCCTTAAGTTTCTGTGTGGAGAATCTGTTTTCGTTCAATAAAAGTTTAAACTAAATCTACGAAATCCAATTGTTTTTTGTTATGAGCAGTGGATGGGAGTTTCCACGATATTAGATATGTTAGACAAAAAGGTTTAGCCCATATCGATGCTATCAAGCCAAAACGGCATAAATAACATTTACCTGATTTCTCAGGAAACATAAAAAAGTTTCATCATGTCGTATTCAAATAGGCATTTGCGTAAACTTTAAACCAATATTCGAACGATTGAAGTTTATTTGCGGTTATGCCGGTACGGATGAAGATTTAAAAATCTTGTTGTATCGATGTTACATCGTTGTATCTAAGTAGAAAGTTACCATATTGGCGTTTATGCTGATTTGGCTTGGCAGCGACGAAATGTTATCTTCTAAACGTGATTTGGTATGGATACGTGTTCTTATATATGCTAAGAAATACCATTTTTATATGCTAAACAACATGTAATACCTTTTAAAGTTCAACAATTTGAAATGCAGGCATGCAGTTGGAAATTGGATTAATATAATTGGAGAAAATAATTTAATAGATACGATAATACGAGATAATAGCGTTAGAGTTTGCGATCTTCCTTGGATTGAACCAGATACAACTTGAGCCTGGCATCCACGCGTATAAAATATTTGTTTCAATAGTAACAGAAAGTAGTGGTAATAATTTCCGGCCAAAAATAATCCTTTTATTTCTTCTTAATTTTAGCATGTTTTTTTAATAAATGTCAAAGATGATTACATAAATGTATAACCCCAATACTGTATTGTGGTACTAAATTGAGCTATTCAGAACCATGCTCGATTATTTTTTAATGATTATTTGACCATTAGGTATTATTTACAGGAATTGATCTTAATCAATTTAATATTACATAGTTTAATAATATAGTTAACAGAAAATTAATTCTATAGTATAAATTTATTAAGAATACATACTACGGACACAGTTTAATATAAAATGAAGGACCTTATCCTTCTATTCTAACAACTTATTTACGGATAATTGTCAGCATGATATTAATATTTACAATTCGTTTAAAATACAAAATAAGTGAGATACTTAGCTTTAGTAGGTGTGTATTATGGACTTTTAAGAGAGGTGTAGAAACAGAAAGTTCGAAAATAAAACAAAAACATTTTTAGAGTTAACGAACACGTTTCCGTTTTAATGTAGCCATTAATTAAAAGAAAATGCATAAAACCAATAAAACACATGGCGAATTACGTATGCACGAGCGGTCAACACGGTGGCAACCACATGTCTCTGCCATAATTTCCGAACGAGTAACGTACCCGGCGGCGGTGGCGCGGTGTACACTAATTTATTCAAGGAAAAGGCGGCAGCAGCACACGCCACGCGATATTTTACGTCGTGCTCGCTCATTATCGGCCTATTTACATAAATATCAAACGAAAAGCGGCCCGAAAAGTATGCCTAGTTAGGAGGACGGGTTCGCAGCTACCAACCAACCCCCTCAACTCACGGACGGTCGACGAAGAATTCTAACTTTTATTGTCCGCCGAGATTTATGTGCCCGTCCTCGACGCTATCTGGAAAATCTCCGGGAATGCACGCGGAATGTTTAATGAAATAAATACGGGAAAGAGGGTCGACCTGAGGTTTGCTCGTCTGCGTCGTTTGTCTGAAGTTTAGAGGTAATAGCGAGAGAGTGCGGCGGTGTCGGTGTCGGTTAAATTAACTTTTGACAGGCACACCACCTCCAACGTTAATTGCCGTAACTATTTACGAGCGTGCGTAAGAGTCATAACCCGAGACGATTTTTTCTGTTCTTTTTTATATTTAGATTAATAAAACCTATTTCAGTCGCTGCGAGGTTGGCGATTACGTTGAATGAAATGCGAAAATAGAAATACTTGCTTTTATTACGAGGGCTGAAATTTTATTATTTAAAATAACCGTTGACGTGCTTAAGTAGTGACGTGCTTGAAACAAGCTTTTTTTAACCTTTTTTACACGTCAAGTGTTTTTTTATTGAATAGCCAAATTTTCAGTTGTATTATACATATAACTTTCAAGAAAATTTCATGTTCCATTCTAATCTTACTTTGAATGTAACTTGACGGAACTTAAAGTTGCTCCTTTTAACATTTAATTCAAAAAAAGTTAAAAAATAAATACTTTATATACCTTGCACGTTTTGAATAGGTTTCATCAACAACTAAAGCACCTGTCGCAATGAGTCATACGTTCCAAGCGACGAACGCGGATAAATCGATTTAACATCGACACGGAGTTAAAAAAAAGAAATAAGAAATTCCTCCGGGTCGATATCCAAAGCGACCTCGTGTAAAACCCGTTAGATGGCGCTGAAAGTTGTCGAGGATTTGCTCGTCAAACACTCGCCCGCGAAATAGGTAATACGGCCGGATGATTGACGATATCCATAAAAGGATTTTAATGGATGACGAAGTGCGTTCGGGATAAGGAACAGGCCTTCATCGAGGAAACCCGTTAGGGGAGCGACGCGAGTTTGCGAAGGGAGAGAAAAGGGCATGTGCCGAAGTGCGACAAGCGAGAACTTTTCAAAGCAGTCGAGGTGGCAACAGACAACTAAGGGGTCAATCGCCCCATGAATATAGTAGGATGATGAGAAGGTTCGATAGAAAATATGTTTTTACGAAGAGTTGTAAATCCACTGTAAGAATAGTGATATTATCCTAACAACAAGGAGGAATCATAAAAAC